ATGAGGAAAGAGGGGAAGGGGAAGCAAGGGAAATGGGGAGAGGAAAGGAAGGGAAAGAAGGAGAGAGAAGGGGAAAAGGAGAGGAGGAAGGGGGAAGAAGGAGAAGAAGNAGAGGAGAGAGAGAGAGAGAGAGAGAGAGAGAGAGAGAGAGAGAGAGAGGAGAGCAGAGAGAGAGAGAGAGAGAGAGAGAGAGAGAGAGAGAGAGCCTGGTTTGTTGACATTTATGCCGGAAGATGAAGCATACAAGATATCCATCACAATAGGATATTAACACAAGATATATATTCATATATATATTTTGATAAATCATTTACGTTGAAATAGTACAGTGTATGACAGTGTGGCGTTCTAGTCTGCTTTCAGTTTATATTTCACATCTTCGCCACGAACTTACATAACGAAGAAATATATAAAGGAAATTCCCACAAAAGAGTATGGGGATAATATGTTTGTAGATAGAGCAATTGTATAAAATGGGGTAGTATAGAGTAATGTTAAATGGATAGAATAGAGCAATGTCGTTAAACGGGTAGAAATCCCTCATTCATGGGCCTAAAATGACAAAAAAGTCCGATAACCAATTATAACTTTATATCGAACACGAGATCTTAAAATTGGAGTAGGTTTCATTTTTTCGTAATATGATTCGCCGCTAAATAAATTATTGTTGGGAAGAGATACGTGATTTTGAACACCGGTCGTCACTGTAAGGCTTTATATCATAATAATTCGAAGTAATAGACACTTTAAAACAGTTAGAGGTAACAGATCCCGGTCCACTTTCATCCCGTAGAAAAGGCGAGCTAAAAATCATTCTTATTTAGAATTATCATCATTATATTCTTTTATTTGCTTCGAGTATTGCTCTGTCTGCTACACTAAAGGCGAGAAGGGGGGGAATAGGGAGATAAACAAAGAACACAACAAAAATGCATGAGATTCCACCGCAAGATGAAATGTTTCTCAAATATGCCCCTGAAGCAAGTCCGCGCTTTACACGGGGTCCCTAAATGGAATGTCGATAGCCTCTTGAACCAACGCTTGTTTCTTAGCAGCATATATCTACTTTGATACATGGAAGTAAATTACCATAGAAAATAAATGGCGATAATACTACAGCGCAGAGAGTAAGGCAATAATAATAGTAATAATAACATTAACAATAATTATGATAATTATTATAATGAAATTGATAATAAATGAATATATAAGTATATGAATAAATGAATGAACAAACAGAACACGTTTATTAGAAAAGGTAAAAGATTTTAATATTATGAAATGGCATTCGAACCTATGCCCTCGCCTTTCTACTAAATATACTTTGACCTTATTGTTTTCTTCCGTCATCAATGCAATTCCACGATAAAAAAAAAATCACATGAAATCATAAGCACAAACACATTACAGACAAACACCAAGGACATTTCTATAATCGCAAAAATATTAATCTTAAAAAAAATCACGATATCAAAGAACACCTGCCATAAATTATAGTTGTAAATCGACTGATTATCAGGTATCCAGGGTGGCTCGTCCTCATTCGGAACTGACATTATTAGATCTTAGATTTGGTTAACCGAATTTCCCTTTTAAATAGACGGCATTAATTCCTCGCGTTCTAATCGTAGAACAGTCGCTTGGATGAAGATAAAGTGGTAATTTAGATTTACTTTTTTCATCCTTTTTTGCCGTTTTCGTTTTATCTGTGATTATCATTGTTGACAAAAAACTTTGATCGACGTTTTATTTTTTTTATCTTCATTCTTTCTAGATGATTTCTTCGACTCATTTTCCATCCATTTCCTTCGTTTGTCTTTCCTTTCTACTCTTCTCTCCTCTCCATCCTCTCACTTCCTTCCTCACACTCTCCTTCACTCCCTTTTCTTCGCTTTCTCGTCCTTTCCGACGGCCCCGTTCGGATTCGCTGTCGGTTCCGCCAGCGGCCCGAACACCGACCCGGGGCCGGCGTCGAGCGAATCAACCGACTTCTGCGACTCGACCGACTTCTGGGTATCGAACTGATCCGACACCGACATCCTGCTACACTCCTCGATCACCAGGCGGGTCGACTCCTCCAGCTCCTGCTCGCGGTGAGTTACGCGTCCGCCAGCCTGTTGATGACGTCACGAACATGTCAGAAACGTGTTTACTTATAAATGAGTTAAGACATAAGGACAGGTCGAAGGGGCGGTAGCGGGAGTGGGGAGGTTTTCGGGGGAATTGGTTTAACGTGGGAGGATGGTATTTTCTCTTTCTCTCTCTCTCTCTCTTTCTCCCCCCCCTTCTCTCTCTTCTCTCTCTCTCTCCTCTCTCTCTCTCTCTCTCTCTCTCTCTCTCTTCTCTCTCTCTCTCTCTCTCTTCTCTCTCTCTCTCTCTCTCTCTCTCTTCTCATATTCATCCCCTTCCTCCCCGAAAAAATCATAGAGGAAAAGTGAACCTACATACGCAAATATCAATATCTTAATTAAAATATGACTGTACAGCAGTCTTTCCAAAA